GTGTACTGTTATTTGTGTTAATTACCAATAGAGGAATCGTGTATGGGTTATTAGTTGTCAGTTATTATTGTACTTGAATAGAGACCTAAGCAATAGTGTCCCATATTTTAATATATTTGTATAGATATCTACCCCTTTATACATACCATCTAAATCTCCCAAATTTCTATTTGTACCATGCAATTGCAATTAAGTAGCCTCATATCTATCTTGTGTCCTAATTGCATTTACTATTTGTTTTACCTGCTTTCTTTGAATACTTTCCTAGTTCTAAATATAAATATATGATAGAGTTTTAATCTTCACTTGATGACACATGTCATCTTGAACTTCAAGATGGTTTATTTAGGCGGCTATTTGGGTGATCCTCAAATAGTTTGTTGGTCATTTGTATACTTATACTGTATACGGTTTTATGATTACTTAAATTCATTACTTGTTTCAGTGCTGGAGCTGGTAGGACAGGTACAGTTATTGTAATTGCTTCAATGCTGGACATGGCAAAGCAAGAAGGGAAGGTAGACGTGTTTAATTTTGTGCGAAGCATGAGGGAGAAACGTATCCAAATGGTGCAAACCGAGGTTGTATATCAGGTTTTAATTTTTAATTGTTTAATGTGTTAAAATATTAGCCCTACCTATTTTTTTTTCTACTATGAATGCTTCTACAGATTATTATTTTTTTTAGCTTGACCTACTTTAATTTATTAAATTTATACTTATTTTGAATTTTGACTACATCTTTAGTTTGATTTGCATAATTTTGATCAATCAATAAACATGCCAATACCCACAGTGAAATCCAATGTTAAGTATAAGAACAAAATACTTACTCTAGTAAACAATTGTATAATCATTATCATTATTATCATTATTATTGTCTTTAAATTTCTATCTTATACTAAAACATCAATAGGAGCAATACAGATTCATCTATGCAGTATTACTTGAAGAGTTGTTCTGTGGACAGACACAAATTCCAGTATCTGATTTATACCAAGTAATCCATGAACAACAACAAGTGCAGGGAACGCACTCAACTTTCGAATACCAACTAAAGGTACTGTACTACTACGGTTTACTGTATGTCTACACTAATTCCTACCGATAGGCTTAGATATTATTCATCTGGTATTGCGTATTACACGACCCAAAACACTGCCAATAGAGAATGTTGCTTGCCTTGTGTATGTGAGTTTCAGTTTGTTTTTTTCTAATTTAGTTATTGATCTAAACAGTTATAAAAACCTAATAATGAGACTACTATTATCATGATCTGCCTACTGGCATGCTAACAACAGTTCATTTCTCGATTTTTTCTATCATATGCTTTACATTTCATGATGGTATAGCTTTCATTTGTTTCCTTTTTGTCATCTAAAACCTTTACTCTCTTTTTACCTCAAGGCCGCTTTCCTTATACTTAGTTCAATAATATCTCTCCAAAACTGTATCCTCTACTTATACTTCCGATCCATTTCTTCTTTCTGTCTTTTGTTGTAGCTGATAAAGTTATTTTCTCATTTACTCTTACAAGTACTTGATCATTTGTTAGTTTGTTTTTCCATATAATTTTCTCCATGTCCGCTTTTGGAAAATCTTCCAGTCTATCTATTTCAATTGTTCTCATTGTCCAGGTTTCATAACCATATAGTGCACACTCCATACAAGTGCTTTAGTAATCTTCTTTTTCAATTTTCTGTCCATCTGTTTGTCAGTTACTCTCTTCTCTTGTTAAAAGCATTTTTAATATTGGACTTAAATTTAGGTTACTCACTCTTTATTGCACTTATTGCGCGCCATACCTAACTTAATTGGCTTCCCTTACTCGATTTTTTTTTTTTTCAGATTAGGGCCTGGGCAAACGATTCATGCGTACGATTTCCCACATTAAATTCGATGTGGGATATCGTATGCATGACTGATAAATTGTAAATCACATGATTGGCTTAGTTCATGCATATTAATTAATCTTGGGTAAATTTTCAAAATTGAAGATATAAATAATAATAATAGATGGATTTATAGATGCGGATGTCTCGACTAGGATAAGCTAACCAGCTCCCTTCTGCCTACCTACTTGAATTAAAACAGTTAGTTCCTGGCCTGCTGTGAACGACTATGGACTGCAGAGTCTACTAGTAGGCTACTGTATACTTACAGAACCTTGCTGTCCGCTAGCTGCTACACAGATTTAGGCCTTTAGGTTGGAATATTGTTAAAAAGGTAGGCCTCTGTAAGTAAGAACTAAAAAATAGGCCAAGCCTCTACTAGGCTAGGCCTCTGACTCCAGAAGTCTGGACCATCCTCCTGGAAAGTTATAGTTTTGTTGTATTTGTAATGGTATGCCATCTAGGCCTAGTCTAAGCTTAATTGTTTTTGCCATTGCCAAAATTTGTTTAACTAGGGTCTATTCTAAATATTTTAGGCCCGTTTTATTAGGGAGGATATGCCTCACTAGTCGACGCGAGTGATTCAGTTTCGTGGCCCAAAAATTATGAATTGATTGGTTGAAAATGTTTATTTCTGTCCGCCCAAGATTACGTCATTCTTTTGGCATCCTGATGCCTGCATTAAGTGTTTTACAAGTCGCTTATTCCATCTCTAAATTAAGTTTCTCGTTGGTGGCACTGTCCAGAATGAGAAAAATAAACTATAAGAAACTTGTGGCAGGTCTATATTGGACTATTATGAGAATAAAATGAAAACAAATTTAAGAAGAAAAAATCATTGTGATGTAAGTGCACATTTTGTAAATAGTCTTTTATTTCAAGAACTTTTATCATGATCTTTCAATAAAATCATCAACTAGTTAATATAGAAGGCAGTTTTCATATTACTTTGATTTTACATTGATTTAGGCCAATTATACTGTTTAGGACTTAATAGCACTAAGCGCTCAGGACATCAGTCATATCATTTTCATTTCATTTCATTTCGAGTAACATTTATTCAATTAATCTAAAATATAATATTAATACATAATAACCATAGTGCGTTAACTTAGTCCATACACTTTGGCTGCTACTGGCGTATATAAATTAAAATATACTATCCACTGATGTTAATATTGTATATTTCAGGTGAGAAATGCAGAGAATACATTCGTTTAAAACAGGAGAGATATGATATATCTAATCTTCCTTTTCTGAATATACTTTTCAGCATGTGTACACCTTACACATTAACATAACAATAAGCCACTAAATAGTTTATCATGGCTTGAAGGGCAGATCGGCCAAAGCAGATTTACCCTTCTAAAATTAAAAGACATTTGTTTTTCATACTGTTGTCAAATTCATTTATTATTACAGGCTTAGGCCTAACAATTAAAATATACAAAAAAAGTTATAAAGTAGTATTACGTTTTTTGTTATAGACTTTAAACAGTATATATCCTAGTCCTATTGATGATGATCGTACATCACATGCCAGGCTTCCCGACAACATATTGAAGAATCGTTCCAAAGTTGTCTTACCATGTAAGTTCTCCTATTTAGTAATTGCTATCTATATCCAAAATTATCAAATGCATAATTATAACAGATTATTATTACGATAGGTTATGTCGAATAGTTATGGTTCATTTATTTATCTATTTATTTAAATATGTTGTATCTTGATTCATTTATCTTATAAAGTAAATAAAGCTCGTCCTTTCTTGATGACTCCATGCACCAACGGAAATGATTACATCAATGCATCATTCTGCGACGTAAGTAAAACTTTCTGAGCAAATCATTAATAAACTGCATATTTTATTTATATTTTTTTCTCTAAAATATTATTTATTATTATTATTATTATTATTATTATTATTATTATTGTTATTAGTATTATCATTATTATCATTACCATCATCTAATACCTTTGTCATTTCATGTGAATCTCAAATAAAAAATAATGCCACATTCCACAATATGCATTTGAAGAATATGTCCGTTTTGTTTTACATTACAGGGCTACAACAAGCAAAACGCATTTATTGTTGCCCAGGCTCCAATGTCTGAGCCTGCCGACACAACTGTTGATTTTTGGCGTTTAGTGTTAGATTACAAGACGGACATAATCGTACAACTGAATAACAAAGATGAAACTTGCACCGCATACCTTCCTCAACGGATGAATGAAGAGCTGAAGATTGATAAATTTACCATTAGCATCATTTCGTCTGAGCAGAACGACTTAATGATCGAACGGAAAATCATGCTACAAAAGGTCGTGCACATACTTCATATCAAATATAACTCATCTTATTTTTAGTGGTTATGTAAAAAAGTTTTAATACAGTTTATATTCATTTTTTCCAATTGCTATACAACTAGTGGCGTCACGCTCGGGTGCTGATGGGGTAGGAGCGCAAGGGCCCCCAGGCATGAGGGGCCCCACATTGTAGTTTAAAAAAATGTATAATATAAACTATAATACCATAGTTTTATTCAACAGGGCCCTAACAGTTTTAAGCAATAAAATCTTGGCTCTAATGTTTGACATTTGCTTCTGATTTTGTGATCAATCTGCTTTGCATTGTATATATATTATGAAAACATGTTTCAAACTCTGTGACGCCACCGAATACAATCCATTAAAAATGCATAAAAATGTCAGTTATTAAAGTTAATGTCAGAAACAAAAGTTAGGCCTACTCAGATTCTCTTCCGCCATACAGTCAGAACGGCACCAAAATGTTCATAAAAATTTTCTCAAAAATCCTTTAACCAACGGTTCTATTCAGAACATTTGAAAAAAAGTCTGGGTTGTCCATAATTTCATTGGCTTAATATATTCATAATATTGTGTGTTTTTCTTTTTCAATTCAGGACAATGATGTACAAGAGATTCTGCACTTTGAGTTTCGGCAGTGGTCTAAGGCAGAACCTGTTCCAAAGGTTGACTCATTTGTCAGATTTATTGCAGCCGTTCAACGTGGTCACATTCCTCAAAGTAACCGGCCAATCATCATTCATTGTCTGTGCGTTTAATTTTATTTATAATTTATTCATTAATTTATTTGACCAAAATCGAATTTTTACAAACAAAATACATGATCATATATAAGAGTGATTTAATTATAGTAATCATAAATATTTATTTGAATTATTCTTATATGTTTTGCTTATGATTGATATTTAGGGATGGCGCGGTTCGATCAGGATTGTTCTGCTCCGTTTATTCAATAATCGATAAAATTAAAGAAGAGAAAATTGTGGATGTATTCCAAATACTGAAAACCCTGCGATCAGTTTGCCCTGCAATGGTGAATACTAAGGTAGGTTCTATCTGAAACAATATTATTTAAATATGTCAATGTTATTGTAAGAGTCAATAACGGATAATAATATAGAAGAAGATAAGAAAAACTGTAATTTCATTCATCCATTTATTCATTCTTTCATTCATTATTATTTTCATATTTGGTTTTGTATGGGTCGAACACCTCCTTGTGGGAGTGTTCCTCTGTTATCTTAGATAAAATGATAATAATAGATTTCTACGTAGCAATCCATTCAGGAAGAGACACATGCACAACATGTTTTACCAATGAAAATAAATAGCAGAAGATACAGCAGCTTCCCAATATAGTGGAACATCTGTTTGAAATGCATTGTGGGTACATGGAGACCAATTTTACCCTGTCCGCGCGGTAATATCAATAATAAAGTTTATTGTGTCCCAACAAGTCGTTCGAACCTATTGAATACAAAATACAAGAAACTATGTAACTCAAAATGCTCAAACTTTTCAACGCGATAACATAGACTATCGTAATTTTAACTAATTCTCAATACATTCAACTCATATAATGGTGCTTAAAATTACACTTTTTGACATCCAAGATTCAAATTACAGCTCAACTCAGTATACTCTACTCAGATGACTGTTGAAATATCAATTAACTTAATGACAAATACAAGAAAAAAGTGTTTCTCTATAATGATGATAATATTTATTTGAATTATGCCATTTATATTTATGATACTCAAACAAAAATACCTAAAGTAATTTAAACATATTATTCCTCGCGTAGACCTCATAAAGAAAACCCGAAATAATTGCGACTCTCGAATCACAGCAATACAGCCGCTCTATTGTATTACATGGTATAACCATGGTTACTCTTATCAAAAGTTCTAACCACTAGAGATAAAACACTTTCAGGGATCAACTTGATTATAATATACTGTAACTTAAACTAACTTAAAAATAAGCCTCATAACACTGCAAATATCACTCCGCTATGTATAAATGCACTAGACTCCGCTATGTATAAATGCACTAGACTCTTAAATACTGTAGCACAAATTAAGCTACTCAATCAATCAAATCAATACGCACTCAAAATAAATAGTTCTAATAATTACTAATAATCATTAACATTTTCTGTTCATGTACAACCAAAACAGCCATCCCTTGCAAGATGATTCATCATATACCTAATACGATGCTACAATTCTGAGAATAACTATAATTCTAATGATGGTTAATTCGTAATTCCTAATATAAAACTTAGGCAACTCGCTAACAATAGCGACTATATCAGTCTCAGATAAGAAAGTATAATACATACTCCAAGTATTGAAATACACGCCATCGTGTTGGGATTCAATATTTCGACATTAATTATGTCATCATCAGGAATGATCAGTCTCAGTTTTTCAATCTTATTTAATCATTGAAATTGATGTTCTACGATAAATTATGATCTTTTTTACAATGAAGTTTAATACAATGATATTTAACTTACCAGTTGAACTGCTCAATACTCCTAGAACAACTGTGTTAACTTTCTCAAATAACTAAATTACACTACAGAATTCTCTAACGCTTCTCTTTCTACTAAAAATAATTTGCTGTGTCTTATCGGAGCGCGAAAAGAAAACTACAAAAATGTGAGACAGCTAACATGAGAGGTGCTCCTTCTTTCCCTTACGAAACAAAGACATACTTTATTTTTATATTATTATTACTTATAATATATTTTCTTTATTTGTAGGTGCAGTATAGATTTTGCTACGATGCAGCGCGGTGTTACCTTGACGGATTTGAAGCTTATGTCAACTTTTAGTTATATCAAAATCCATATGTTACTCAGAAGACACATTTGATAGTCATAAATTTATTTGTGTTAATTTAATAGTTAAATTCATAATAATAATAATTCTGGATTTATATAGCGCCTCCCGTTGGATAAATTGGATAAGTATTATCAGTTATTAAAAAATTATTACTCATAATATCCTTATTTTCACACCAAACTGCAAGAAAAGTTCAACAATTACAGAATGCCAACAAATGCAATCTCTATTGTCATGGAAAATGCCTCTTTTAACATTTACAAATGAACTTATAATATTACAATACAAATCTGTTTACTTCTAAAAAATAAGTGGCACACGCCATGTATTCAAGCAATAACAAATCAAAGTAATGTAAGGTATAGGAAGAAGCATGCCATCATGATTTAGGCTCAGTCGGCAACATTTTACTTCTAAGGACCCATAGTTAGCCTAGCTTCCCACTACCAAGACTTCAAGTTATCATAGAAATGTTGTCAAAGATACAAAATATACGACCAATGTAATACAGTAGCACCCCCTACTCTGGGACACCCTATTAAGGGGACACTTTTTAGTGAACCAACCCCTATTAAAGGGACACTTTTTTTTTTTTTATTGTATCGCAAAAAACTACAGCTGTCTAAAAGGTTTTAAAAAAAATCATTAAACTTTATATTCTGATAAATTTTGAGCAATGAACTTCACATCCAACCAGAATTTTCTCCCCTGAATCCGGTGTGAACATCGGTATAGGCCCCTAATGCTTAATTAATTTGTTTAAAGTTCCAAACTATTTTTTTTTTAGTTGGGCTCACGGTCACGGGCCAAAGATAATATCTGAGTAATAAAGCAGCTCGTTATAATGTTTTTGGTAATTTCAAAATCTACTTTTTTTTTGTGCTACACAAGAATATTAGGGTAGTGCAAACATTAATATTCTCTAAATGTAAGCAAAGAATATATATCAATAACCATTCTGTTCACACCCTTGTTCACTTTATAGCAACTGGAATATCTTTAAAGAAAGTCCAATTTTAAATACTAATGTTGGAATGTTACAATAACAGTTTATAAAAAAAACCTGTGAATTATGATGTTTAATTACAACTCACCGATTCGACCGAACAATCAGCGTCACCATAAGTTGTTGGCGATAGAGTGTAGTGATTTTATGGAAACTATGGTATATTTTATATATGGTTCAATGTATTGGACAATTTTCAGTGACGTTTTTAATTATGACTAGATAGACCTAATCTCAAAATTACAAATATTGTTCAAATGAAAAAAATGGAATCTGCACATGTTAATAGTTTTAGTTTTTGGGTTTTGGAATGACAGAAGTAATATTATCAAATGATATGAAATATTTTACAAAATATAGTCCTACACTGTTATTTTCGAGGATTTATTTTAACTCCCAACTCCTAAAAATGTACAGAATAACTCCTTCGTAATTAAAATATCGCCTTGAAAATAACAGTGTAACCTTTTTATGGTATATGATTTTTCATTTATAATTACTCCAAATATATACCTAAATATATTCCATGACACCATTATTTTCATTCTTTTTATGTATTGATATGTATTGGTTAAATGGACTAAGATTTTTAGCTATTTTTACAAATAGATTTATTTTTGTATATTAATTTAACATATACTTTTAAAATCGTTAATTTAAGAAAGTGAAGTCATTGTAATGCTTATAACACAATGCCTCACCTGATCTAAAAATTAATAATGGAGAGTGTTTGGTCTGATGAATGCATGGTTTGGCTTTCAAAATTTCTCCATAATGCTTAATGTCTAGTTATCTTGTAGATTATCTAGGTAGTTTAATATTTTATTAACAATGTGAAAAGAAAATTCATGACAAAATACTATCAAAAATTCAAAATAGGAATCATCCGATTCGTTATGATCTTTAGTTTATTACGATCTAGTAGACGTCATGGGTCTACACAAAACGATATTATTTTCAATATTCTATCACATTTTTTATCCAACTTTAGCATTCCAGTTTTATATATTTTATATTTTATTGAT